ATGGAAGCTACAGGGATTTTGTAAAACGTTACAAAACTTGTATAAAGCTCTCAATTTGTAGCTTCTTTCTTTAGTATCTGACAACTTAGGCTGACAAAGTGGTTGTAAATATCTTTTATAGAAATCCCTTTTTAACTTCCCTTTTCCTTGAAAAGACATCCAGCAAAGTAAATGCTTTGAGTGCTGGTTCGATTCACACCACTCCTTACAAACCATATGAATCTGTGAAACTCAGTGTCTTCCTCCAGTACCAGAGGTCAGCAAATACAGCCACAGGCCAAATCTACATTTTAAATATACATTTAAATGTAGTTACATATTTTAATGTTGGGAAAAATAGTCACGATATTTTATCACATGTGAACATTATATGAAATTCAAATTTCAGTGTCCATAATAAAGTTTTATTGGCACACAGCCACGTTCATTTGTCTACATATTGTCTAGGGCTGCTTTTATGCTACAACAGCAGAGTTGAGTAGCTATGATGGGCTACAAGGCCCACAAAGTCTAACATGTTTACTCTCTGGCGCTTTTCAGAAAAGCTTTGCAAAGCCGGTAGTGGGAGGGATAATCACTCAGGTAGCAGTGGAGAGGTTCAAAGCAGACAGTATGATTGAAATGCAATGTGAAAAGAACAACACAGTGGCATCCAGGTGTTCTTCTGGAACTTTGTAGTTGTTTTAAGCTTTCAATGTAATAGTGATGTTAAGGCAGTTATTATACTCAAACAGCAAAAGGAGGCTCCTGCACACTGTTTTTCGGTGTTCCCAGACTACCGCAGCATGGACTCTCGTCTCAGTACAGTAAAGAGGGCCTAAGCCTTCCCCTTTCCCAGCTGTAAGGGCAGCAAATGCTAGGACTGAGGATCAGGTTCTCTGGGGGCCAGTGCCAGCTCTGCCACTTACAGGCAGATAACTTCAGGAGATTGAACTGTTGTCCCCGAGGCAGTCTTCGTCTTGTTAGGTCCATCGCCTCATTCTAGAAACTGAGTCTTTTTTTTTTTTTTTTTTTTTGCTTTTAAATTGTTTTATTACAATTAAAATTACACAAAAGCAAATCGATTCATTTCAATCAAAATAACTCATGTTTACATATTTATAACTACAATAAAATATATAAAATATTTTCATATTTCATACTTCAATCATCTTCGTCTTCTTCTTCATCACTGATCACGTACTTCTTATGCTTTTTATTTGCTTTATCATCATCTTCTGCTTTTCTCTTTCCAGAAGGTTCACCCTCCTCATCACTGGTAAGTTTCTTTGCTTTGAGTAATCTTTGAGCCTTATCTTCTTCTGACCCCTCATCACTGTCTGATGAATAGATTCTGGCTCGTTCCTCTCGAATGCCCCCTTTATATCGGTTTTTAATGGCAGCCAAGCTGATGGACTCCTCGCCTTCCTCCTCCTCATCATATCGATCAGGTTCCAGGTAACTGGCACTCAGCCCCCGCTGGTGCTGTTTCTCTCTCATTCGGCGCTGCTGAGATTCCCTACGTATGGAAGCCCTCAAACGTTCTTCTTCTTTCTTAATCATTTCTGTGCGTTGGCATTCAGGATCACGACCAGCCATTGGCAAGATTCTAAAGCATGTCCCTGCATTTAGGCAATGAAGTGTTTGATGTGTACAAAGCCCCACTGCAGGGCGACCACAATCATCTTTTTATAAGACAAGGTACTGGTCTACAGGGACAAGCAGTCTTTAAAACGAAACTCACCTTCAGACCTCACTCTACGGACAGTGCCACACATAGAAAGATGACTCTGTCGCTTGCAGATAGGTGTTCAAAGACACAGAAGATCAGTCTTTTTTTTTAAAGGTGGTTTTGCAGTGTTGCCCAGGTTAGCTTCAAAATCCTGAGCTCACGTGATCCTCAGCCTCCTGAGTAGTTGGGACTGTAGGCATATGACATGGTGCTTAGCTAGAAACTCAGTCTTTTACTCATTTTCCCGAAGCCAGTTGTTCATTGCCAACTCATGCATGCTGAATTCTACTCCACCCCCTGTTTTGGTCCCTGTGAAAGAGCATGGGCTTTGGGGTCAGTCATACCTAAGTTCCAATCCCGATCCTGCCATGTATTTATCATGTGAATGACTATAACTCACCTTTGTGCTAGTTTTCTTTTTTATAAAATGTGGATAATGTTCTTGTGAGGATTAAATTAGATGGGTATGAGAGTTCCTGACACATAGAAGTCTCTTGGTGAATGATAATTGAATTGGAACCCCATTTGACCTATGATGCGGTTCCTGGGGGTTGGAGGGTATTGGTTATTGAACAAGACAAAACCCACCTCTGTTTTCTGCCAGAGAGTTGGGAGGAGGCAGAAAGAAAGAAAGAAACAGAGGCAGGAGTCAGATCAACACAGTGGAGACCCTTTATCATTGGTAAAATCTAGGTCGGCAGACAAAGCTTAGGTTTGCAGGCGGGTGGCCTTGCTGATACTCTGCTCCTGAATTAGACACTCACTCAGCCATTAGTGCCACTGAGCAGTCGCAGCCCCTGGAGCACAGACAGCAGGGACAGGCCCCTTTGCAACATAGGAGAGAGAGGAACAGAGCAGAACCTCTGCTGTCTCTAAGTAGGCAAAAGAGAGGAGAGAAAGCTGTGAGGAGTAATGCACACCCCGTGCTTTCTGCCGGGGGGCCAGAGGGAGGAGGCTCTGGGAGGAAGCAAGGTGTCATTCGGGGAAGTTGGTTCCCATAGAAACATGAGGATTAGGGAATAAGCAATCCCTCCGGTAGCCCAGGTTCTGTCCAGATGAAGAAAGGCCACCCTTACTATCTCTCATCGAGTTCTCCCTCCCAAAGGTAGTAGACAGCTTAAAGCCTTTCTTTTTCACCCTTCTGCCCTCCCAATGCAATGTGCAGGCCTTGGCCTGCTCCTAGGAACATTTTATGTGGAGTATGATCATGGAATTGAAAGAATATGTGTAGAAATATTGCCTTCAGACCTATGAGGCTTTGTTAGTTTGACACAATTAGGAAGCTGTAATTTTTTCCAGAATGTAGAACTCAGACTTTATTGACCCATTTAATTTTTTTAAATAATGACATTTTACTAGAGCAGAACAGCATGTAACCTAGATAGCCTCGGGCTAGATCTCTGAGTGATTTTAATTAAAAATAATGTCTCCACTTCTGGTAGATGGACCTTTTCCACAATACCCTGGCAACAAAACAATCTGGGAGAAAAAACTTTCTTGGTTTCTGTTGTTCTTACTAATAGAATAACCATACTGTCAATTTTCAATTTAGAAGGTTAATGTATATATATAATGTTTCCTAAAGGAACATTACCTTTTAATTGAATAATCAGTTTTATCAAATTAACCTTTAGACCTTTTCAATTTCACTGAGTTGAGTTTCCATTAAATCAAAATATAGAGTAGGAGGATGTTAATCTAATGTTCTTGGAACTAGTCATTTCTAGGTCTCTTCTGTCTGCAGGGTACATATTCACTAAGTTGGTACCTTTCTGATTCATTTGTCCCTGACCCCGTTAGCCTCTATTTCCGATGAGAAGGTTCCTAGTAGGGATGAACCTGAGGCTTTGGCCCCTCTGCTTGTTACTCTGGCTCCTCCCCAGAGGGGAGCCATTCATCTGGGATTGGGGGTGGGCTGGGGCTGGGGAGAGGGGATTGAGCTTGCTGGCTTGGCGCTTTTGTCTCACTGTTGGGTCTTCCCTTGGACGGAGTGCATTTTCTCATGGTTACCATCCCAAGCCTAAGTAACTAACAGAACAAGATCCTAAGGAGCATTGGAATAAGGAACTAATTCCATGTCACTCTTCAAGTTCCATGGAGAGAGGATCGTCTATTCCCTAGGAGGCTGGAGGCTATGGGGTTTCCTTTTCAACTCTCCCTCAGAAAATGTGGAAGTGGGGTGGGGGTCGTGGGGTAGGGGTGACTCCAAGGGAGGAGGGAATGCTTATCAGGTGATTGGGAGTGAGGACTCTGTGCTCATCTCACCCCTTTCTTTTTTAGAAGGGCCTGTCCTCAGGATGGATGTATTCCCTGTTTGTTTGTGCCTGAAGTTTCCTAGAGAAGGCTTTGGGACAGCATGCCTACCCGTCTTGAGGTGGGGGAAAAAATTGGTTCAGGAGGAACTTACTAGACAGCACAATCGTAGCTGTGTATCAAGCACATTCTCCAACTCATTCATTTGTTCAGTTCATTCAAAAGTATTTGATTACTGATTTATTAATTGATCAGCCTACTAAAAATGCTAGGCATTGCTCTTGATGATGGGGATACAGCAGTGAACAAACAGAAGTCCTTGCGTTTGTGGAACTTACATTTTTACAAGGGGGAGAGACAGGCAAGAAAAGAAATGATTACGCAAAATATATGGAATGTTAGAGTGGGATAAGTATCTTTGTGGGGAAGGAAGAAGGGAAGTGGGATAGAAGATGTCAGGGAAGGGACAGTTTGTAAAGAAGGATTAGGGAAGGCCTCATTCAGAGGGCAACGTGGAGTAAACACCTAAAAGAAGTAAGGGATCCATTGATGCAGCTATCTGGGGAAAGAACATTCCAGAGGAGGAGACAACCAACACATGGAAAGGTCCTGAGGTGGGAGTGTGCCTGAAATGTTTCGGGAACACCCTCCACCCTCTGATTCGGTCATTGTGTGGTGTGAGACCCCTCAGTAGCTGCCCCATTGCTCTCAAAGCAGAGCCTACATTCTTCATAGCCCAGCTTATGCTGCAGCCCTCACTCCACGCTCCTTCTCTCTCTCCCTTTCCCCATCTGGCTTACGTCAGTTGGGTCTATTCCGGAGGGTTTTCTACCACACACCCTTCATATGTGTTAGTTCTACTATCTATCTATCTAGATGGTTCTCTCACCTTTTCACCTGGCCTGTTCCTTCTCATCCTTCAAGTCTCAGCTTAAATGTCACTTGATGAGGGAGGCCTTTTCTTCTCTTCCCATCCCACTCAGACTATATTATGTTATCATTTGCTGCTGCCCTTTCCTTTGCTGTCTTTTTTTAGCCATACCATGTCTGAATATGGGAGGATGACAGACACAGAACGAGACCAGATAGACCAGGATGCCCAGATATTCATGAGGACCTGTTCAGAAGCAATTCAACAACTACGAACAGAAGGTAAAGTGCTCTGAAAGATGCAAACGTGCAACCATGAATATAGCAGGTAGTTAAACAGAATTCATATGGTGTGGCCGGTTAAAATTCTCTCTTCTTATGTTGATTTAGGTTTCAAAACATTAAAATCTTTTCTTTCTTATCAGTGTTTTAACCAAAGCTGTTAAAAGTACTGAAAAGGCTGCATCTTTCAAGTTAAACCAATGGGAGCAGGGAGATGGAAAGGACCTCTCCAAACAGAACCAAAACTTTACCTAGGGGCCAGGGACAGTGAAGACAAATTGTGTGCGTGTGTGTGCGCGCGCACGCACGTGCACGCCACGTGCGCGTCTGTTCTGTGTGGCAAATTGTATGTGTGTGGGTGTGTATGTGTGTATGCTTATGTGTGCCTCTGTTCTGTGTGGCATTTAGTGGGATAGGGGTTGACAGCAGCCCGGGGTACTTAAGCTCTCTACTTGTAATATTCGAGTAAACTTTCCTATCAAACCTTCAAGGTTAGGAAGGCTCTGGATCCAGGACTGCCTAGGTGGTACCCCAACTCCACCCGTCCGAGTCATATAGCCCTCTGCAAGTCACTTAGTCTCCCTGGGCCTTGTTTTTTGTCTATGAAATGCAGACAATTAGGGGATGTATCTCTAGGGTTGTTATGAGAATTAAGTTAAATTCTTACAGCATGCTTAGAACCATATCTGGCACTAGGGTGCTTATTATCTCACTTTCATTGATGTTTAATTCTCACTGAGACAATGAGATGGCTTCCCAAGTCACGCCTCTTTCTTGATTCTTTTTTAATTTGCTTAGGCAGATACAGAGTACATTAAATAGTAAGTAGAGTTCAAAGCTGCCAGATGCTGTTGTGCTCACAACACAGACCTCTGTTTGGGAGGTTTTTATTAGAATGCTGATGGACCACTTGGAGACTCTGATGGAAGCAATAGGCATTCTTGCCAGAAAAATGTACATACACAAAATTCTATATGCAATTTCACAGAGCTCCTGAGTCCCCCACATGAATCTTGGGTTAGGCAGCCCTATAGTAAAGACAGAAATCATGCCCTCTACCCTTAAGGGCATATATATTCATTGAGAGACCTAAAAAATACACAGGAATATTAACAAAACCTACATTTACATATGAAACCATCTAACCTTGGGCTATTTATTGCCTCTGAACCTTAATTTCTTCATGTGTGAAATGAGGAAACTCGAAATTGCTATTTTAGTTACTAGCAGTACATATGTAAAGTGCTAGCAGAGCACCTGCACACAGTAGGCAGTCAATCTCTCAGTCAGTGGTCACTGTCTTACCAAAACCAGTGGCACAGACTTCAGGTCTGGTAAGGCCTTTTAGCACATTTCTGTGTGGTGGATCCCAGGAGAAGGGCATCTGTGTGGCTAGGAGTCATAGAAGGTTTCCTGGAGACGGAAAGTTTGACTCATTGTCTAAGGGACCCTCAGAATGTGAGTGGCCTGGGGGAGAGGATGGGGCACCAAAGGCTGAAAAGCAGCACAGGTTCAGGCAGGGAGGAGTGTGTGATTTCAATTATTTAAACATGTTCCCTGAAGGTCAGCTCGAGCATTGGATGCTGTTAACACAGATGGGGGTCAGCATTCAAGAAGTGGCTGCATCAAATACTATCCTTAAGTGTTCTGATAAACCATAAATTATTTGACTATAGTTTTTCTACAGGTTTAATCTTTCACTCTTGTGAAGCCTAATAAATCTTACTCTTCTAAAAATGTAGTGTCTTGACACAAGACTTGTTTTATAGCTGTGTTTTAAAAAATACTCTCAATAAAGAAAGTGTTGTGAGGAAGCTGATGAATTGCTCTTTAGGATAATTGAATGCGAAGACCTGAACATTGTCCTTTTCTGTTACAGCTCACAAGGAGATACATTCCCAGCAAGTGAAGGAACACAGGACTGCTGTTTTGGATTTCATTGAAGATTACTTAAAAAGTATTTCATTTTCTTTTAAAGGTCAAATGTGGCATTTCACAATAGATGTGATGCAGAATTTAGCTTTGCTAGCTGAAGACTGTAGTATCTCATTATATTTAATGATGCCTTTGCCTGAGAAGCTGTTTTAAGCAGTCTTTCTTCTGGTATTTTCCCCCTGCAACAGGAGTCTGTAAACTTTACTCAGAACAGAGAGCCATCCGAGTTAAAAGAGTGGTGGATAAGAAAAGATTGTAAGTATTGCTTTCATTGGTGTTTCTTAATAATAGTACTACTAATAATAGCAGTTAAAGTTTGTAGAGCACTTACCCTATGCAACTTACCATATTTGAACTTCTTCACAAAATGCCATAGCTAGCGCTATGGGGCACTCACTGTGTGCCAGGCACCATGCTAGTCACTTTATTAGCCCACAACAAACCCTCATGAGGCAGGTACTGATTCCTCCCTCATTTTACAAATGAGGAAATTGAGGCTCAGGAGGCTTGGCCACTCACCCAAGGTCTCACAGTTCCACAGGCTGCGTAGCTGGGGTTTCAGCCCAAGCAGGCTGTTGGTCCAAAATCTGTGCTCTTGCCCATTTTGTCTCTTAATAAACTGATGAGGCTGGCACATTTTGAGCCATTTTACCTCAATCTCTTTGACCCCCATACCCCTTCTTGTTGTCCCTGAAAGTGTATTCCTGAGAGAAGAGCTAGGGCACAGCAAGCAGGCCACTGTGAGGCTGTCCTCAGGTCACCTGTGACAGACTTGCTTGATGCCACGTGCTGTGAGTGCTCACCTTCCTCCAACCCCACTACCTGTTCTGTGCAGGCACTCTGAGGAGGCCCATCAGCAGGTAAGGACAGTGACTCTCCAGCAGGGTAAGTGACCCATCCAAGGCCACACAGCCAGGAAGCAGCAGGGCCAGACTACTGTATTTCCCATGGTGCCTGCCTGTCTTCCCCTCTGGGCTCACGTGAGCATCTGGAATGCAAGAGCTGTGTCCTCATGGTTGTTCCCACTGCAGCTCGGCCAGTCTTGGAGATTGAATATATTGGTGAACAAATGTCCAAACCTGGACCATTTCTAGACTAGCTTTGGAAATGTTTTAGGATGTTCTTTCAGAAGATAGCATCACGTAACTGTTTGGGGACACATTTATTTATTTATCTATCTATCTATTTATTTATTTATTTTTGAGACAGGGTCTCACCCTATCTCCCAGGTTGGAGTGCAGTGGCATGACCTCCTGGGCTCAAACAATCCTCCCACCTTAGCCATCCAAGTAGCTGGGATTACAGTCATGTGCCACCATGTCTGCCTATTTTTAAATTTTATTTTATAGAGGTGGGATGTCACTATGTTGCCCAGGCTGGTGTCAAACTCCTGGACTCAAGCAATCCTCCTGCCTTGGCTTGCCAAAGTGCTGGATTACAGGCGTGAGCCACCATGCCCGGCCCACATTTTTTAAATTCTTATTGTGTCAGGGGTCCCTAGCACTACTCTCTGGTTCTAGGAGTCACTAGGAGGTCTCATAGGACTCAACATACAGTCCTGCTCCTATCTATGATTTGTCACACTGAAAGGATACGAAGCAAAACAGCAAAGGAAAAGGCACGTGAGACAAAAGTCCAGAGGACACCAGGCATGAGCTTCTAAGAGTCCTGTCCCAGTGGAGTCGCACAGCACGTGACCTATGAAAGCATGTGAAGTGTTGTCTACCAGGGAAGCTCATTAGTGACTCACTGCCCAAGAATTCTGTTAGGGGTTGGTCACGTAGGCACCTCACACCTGGCATGTACCAAAACTCTAGACTCCCAGGAGGAATGCAGATGTACTGCACTGAACTGCATTAAAACTGCATTTTTTTTGCAAAACAGTTCAGGCACGGTGACCTGTTTTTATCAATTAGGATGGCATAAATTCTGCCAAAGTCCAACTTCTCAGACACCAGGCAAGGGTTAACCTTGCAAGCAGGCCTTTCTAAGGATAGCAGTCTCAGGCCTACTATGTGAACCCTTTTCTGCACATTTGTGAAACAGATTTGAAATTGTTAATGCCAACAAATAGAAGCATTTATGGAAGATAGTAAGCAGATCAGTCAAGTTATCTGTCAGCAATAGCTACTATTATATAATGCACTGAGAGAGTAGATTGAATGAAGCCATAGATTAAGTCTTTGCACTTAGGGAGCTTAGAGGCAGACTGGGTTGCTTTTAAACATGAAAAATTAGCTTAATCAGGATATGTCGTAATTAGCAAAGTTGGTAGTAAGCTCAGAGGGGGAAATGGTACAATCAAGTGGCATAGTATGGTGCCTAAGAGCCAGACTCTGCAGCCAGACAGCCTGTGTTTGAATCCTGGCTCTGCCACTTTAAAACTATGTGACTTTGAGCAGATTGCTTAACTTTTCTGTGCTTTTGTTTCCTTACCTATAAAATGGGAAAACTAATAGTACCTAACTTGTAGTGTTGTTGTGAGAACAAAATGAAGATACAGATAAAACACTTACAGTGAGTTAATAAATGTTAATTTGTACTATTAATATTTTCTACCATTAAGCATTTACCATGTGCCAGGCAGTATATTATTTTATTTCATTAATCCTCAAAAAGCCACCATATCAATAAATATTAGTATTTCATTTTCTGAATTAGGGTATTGGGGCTCAGCAAGTTTGGGTTAGCTGTCCAGCATCACAGCTGAATCAAGATTTGAATCTCAGGGTAATTGGAGCAGATTTCTCAAGCAATGGGATTTGTGTTGGCTGTCAAAACAAAAATATCTGGGTGTGTGAATTAGATAGAAAGCAGTCCAGACCTGGGGAAGAGTTTGAGCTGAAGGTCTGGGGCACAGTGAGACCAGTTAGCTCCAAGATGTTATGGAGGAGGAGGTAGGCCTCTGATGATGTGTGATTTGTCATCAAGATGCTGTGGTGGTCACTGGGTCTCACACTTACCTGGGAGAGGAATGCAGATTTCTCCTTCACTATCCCAAGTGGACTTAACAGGTACCCAAGTAAAGGAAGAAGAGATTTTTGCTGCTACCTTAGTTCCTGTTTCTCAGCAGAGGCCTCGACTAAAATACACATTAAAATTGGTCAGATGGGAATTGTTCTCATTTAGACAGCAAAGTATAGCCTTGTCTCCTGCCACATCGTTAGCTGCCCTGTGCCAATTACTTTGTGCAAAAGACCTTGAGGGAAATAATGATGTGACCCTTCACAGTGTAGTTCATTCAACGCCCTCCTTCTTGTCCTTTCCTCGTCTTTAGGCACAAGGCATCTGACTAAAATGTACGTGTGATTTTATCACTCCCTTGCTTCCATGTCTTACAAAGGCTAAACAGCATGGCATTCAAGGTCCGGGATGCCTGGACTACAGCCACAGTAACTCACCACAGTAGTCTGACAACTCCTGAGCTTGTCTATGCTCTGTCCAGCAAAATGAGACCACTGATTAAATGGCAATGTCAGATTGCTATAAATGTTTCTTGATGCTTACTCTTCACTTTTGTACTTACCTTGTAGCAGACCAGTAACAGACAGTCCATGGTTTGGTTCTGTTCCATGGACCACACTTGGAGTAGCGCTGGGTTAGAAAGTCACCTAGTATGTAGTATATGTCCAGTAAATTGAGTGAGTGACTGAGTAGTGGTAAAGGTGGCGTCACTGAGGTAGTGTGAAACATCTCCTGCTTTTGGGGTTCACGGTACCTGTGCCTGAGTGGATACGTTTGTCTGAAAGCTAGTTTTAAAATTATAGTACCATGATATTATATATCAAAAGTATCTTCTTTCTACCCAGAGCCTTTGTTGGAGGCATAAAAGAAGTACAGGTGTACCTCGGAGATATCACAGGTGTGGTTCCAGACGCAACAAAGTGAATATCACAATAAAGCAAGTCACAGAAACATTTTGGTTTCCTAGTGCATATAAAAGCTTTGTTTATACTATAAAGTGTGCAATAGCATTATGTCTAAGAAAGTCATGTGCATACCTTAATCAGAACATACTTTATTGCTGAAAATGCTAATGTTTGTCTGAGCCTTAGGTGAGTTGTAATCTTTTTGCTGGTAGAAGGCCTTGCCTCAGTGTTGATGTCTACTGACTGATTTAGGGTGGGGATTGCTGAAGGTTGGGGTGGTTGTAGCAGTTTTTAAAATAAGACAACAATGAAGTTCGCTGCATCAACTGATTCTTCCTTTCACGAAAGATTTCTCTGTTGTGTGCAGTGCTGTTTGATAGCATTTTACCCATAGCAGAACTTCTTCAACATTGGGGTCAGTCCTCTCAAACCCTGTTGCCACTTTGTCAACCAAGTTTATTCAATATTCTAAGCCCTTCCTTGTTATTTCAACAGTGTTCACAGTCTCTTCACCAAGAGCAGATTCCATCTCAAGAAACCATTTTCTTGGTTCATCCATAATAAGCAGCTCTTCATCCATTCAAGTGTGATCGTGAGATTGCAGCAGTTCAGCCCCATCTTCAGGCTCCACTTCCAATCTTAGTTCTCTGGCTATTTCCACCACATCTGCAGTGACTTCCTCCGTTGAAGTCTTGAACCCCTCAAAATTATTCATGAGTGTTGGAACCCACTTCTTCCAAACTCCTGTTAAAGTTGATATTTTGACCTCCCCCCATGAATCACGAATGTTCTTAATGGCGTCTAAGATGGTGAATCCTTTTCAGAAGGTTTTCAATTTACTTTACCCAGATCTGCCAGAGGAATCACTATCTGTAGCAACTGTAGCCTTGTGAAATGTGAGGTTTTTTTGTTTATTTTGAGTTAGGGTCTCACTCTGCCACCCAGGCTGGAGTGCAGTGGCAGTCACGGCTTACTGCAGCCTTGAACTCCTGAGCTCAAGCAGTCCTCCCACCTTAGCCTCTCGAGTAGCTGGAACTACAGGCATGTGCCACCATGCCCAAGATTTTTGGAATGGTAAGTGAGCATTGGCTTCAGCTTAAAATCATCTGCTGCATTAGCCCTTAACAAGCAAGTCAGCCTATTCTTTGAAGCATTGAAGCCAGCCATTGACTTCTCCTCTGTAGCTATGGAAGTCCTAAATGGGATCTACCTCCAATAGAAGGCTGTTTTATGTAAATTGAAAATCTGTTGTTTAGTATAGCCACTTTGATCAATTATCTTAGTTAGATCTTCTGGATAACATATTGCGGCTTTTGTGTCAGCACTTGCTATTTTACCTTGCACTTTTACATTATGGAATTGACTTTTTTAAATGTCATGAACCAACCTCTGCTAGCTTTCAACTTTTCTTATGCAGCTTCCTCACCTTTCTTAGCCTTTACAGAATCAAAGAGAGTTAGTTAGGGCCTTGCGCTGAATTAGACTTTGGCTTAAGGGAATGTTGTGACTGATTTGATCTCTCCAGACCACTCACACTTTCTCCCATCAGCAATAAGGCTGTTTTGCTTTCTTATCATTTGGATATTCACTGGAGTAGTGCTTTAATTTCCTTTAGTAACTTTTCCTTTACATTCACAGCTTGACTGACTGTTTGGCACAAGAGGTCTAACTTTTAGCCTGTCTCGGCTTTTGACCCGCCTTCTTCCTAAGATTCATAATTTCTAGCTTTTGACTTCAAGTGAGTGACATGCAACTCTTCTTTCACTTAAACACTTAGAGGCCATTGCTGGCTTATTCATTGGCCTGGATTATGTCCCCAGGAATAGGAAGGCCCGAGGAGAGGCAGAGAGTTGGGAACAACTGGGCCGGGAAGCACTCAGAGCACAACACTTAAGAAGTATGCCATCTTATGTGAACGAGCTTTGGGCACTCCAAAACAGTTACAAAAGTCACATCAGAGATTACTGATCACAGATCATAGAAATATAATAATAATGAAAAAGTTTGAAGTATTTTGAGAATTACCAAAATGTGACACAGAGACACAAAGTGAGTACATGTTGTTGGAAACATGGCGTCAGTAGATTTGCTCCATGCAGTGTTGCCACAAACCCTCCATTTGTAAAAACAAATGAAAAATGCAGTATCCGCAGAGTGTAGTGAAGCAAGGCATACTGAAACAAGGTACGGCTGTATAAGAGTCACACTGAAATCGGAAAATTACTTTTGTCTAATGACTGTAGCAGGCTGTATTTAAGGTTTGCAAAAACCTCCCACATATTTTCTTGTCTCAAAACTGAAAAATCTGTCTCTCTTCCTCTCTTCTATCTCTTTGTGGTTCTTTTTAAATTTTAAATAGAACCCTGAGGGTTTTCTAATAAGGGACCTGGAAACAGATGCTGGCCAGGTAGAAATTGTTTGATTGCAGTTCTGAAATATTCAGCTTTCAGTTAGAGAAATCAGTTTAAATAAATCATGGGGCATAAACCGATCTTTCTGATGGCTTTTTGAAAATTGCTTTCTTTCCCCCAAATTGGCTTCAACTAGTTAATGTGTAATTTCCCTGAGGACTTTAGTAGACATTCTGTATATAATTAGAATGTGTTTTTATCACTTAAAAAAAGAAAGGCACTCAACTTTGAGTCTGCTGCACTGTAGTCTTTGATTCATTTTAAATTGGAAACTCGTACATTAGCATCCTCTGGACACAAAGGATGACAGACATTAAAGGAGTCCTTTATTTAAAAGTTGGTGAAGCCCTTTGACTTCTTGAAGAAGTCAGTCCTGAAGCCATGCAGTGAGGCAGGGGTAAGGTGGGCGTCTGCAGTGGTGGGGAGCAGCAGTTTTCCAGGGCAGGGTGCCTGACCCAAGCAGGGAGAAGGTGGCTTAGCATGGACAGTTATAGCCCAAGTCGGGAGAGGGACTGATCCGTGCTGGAGAGGAATGGAGGGGGGTATTAGAGGCGGGTGGTTACATTTAGGAGAATAGATGAAATAATAAATAAAGGAGGCGGCTGGGTGTGGTGGCTCACGCCTGTAATCCCAGCATTCTGGGAGGCCGAGGCAGTTGGATTGCTTGAGGCCAGGAGTTCGGGACCAGACTGGGCAATATGGTAAAACCCTGTCTCTACTAAAAGAAAAATTAGCATGACCTGTAGTCCCAGCCACTTGGGAGACTGAGGCACCAGAATCACTTGATTCAGGAGGCGCAGGTGGCAGTGAGCTGATATTGAGCCACTGTGCTCCAGCCTGAGCAACAGAGCCAGACACTGTCTCTAAATAAATAAAGGAGGATTTTGAAAGCTAGGTTTCTTACTATAGGAGAAGTGAAAGGGGAAAAGCCTTGTCTGTGGTCTTGGGTGGAAATGAAAGATACTGGCATGAATTCACAGTTTTCAATTTCCAAAGATCAATACAGAAGTACCTGTGGTTGTAAATGTGTGTATATGTACACATTTATACACATGTATGAAAATGCATGCATGTATTTTCTTGCTCTGGCCACTGAGAAGGCCTGGAAACAGTGACACTGTAATAGCAATAAGCATAGTTAGCACTCAGATCTTGTCTTCTGAATACCAATTTCACCTTCAGGGAGCCAGGCCTCTTAGAGAAATGGCTGATTCTTAAACTGGAGCAGGGAACATATAAAATAAACCTGGAACAAGGAAGGGCTCAGAACGGTAGGACGTGTCTAAAGGACACAGCCATCAATTTGAAGCGGCGTCTACTGGCCAAATCAGAGATAACTTAAGCATAAAAATAAATGACAGTAGCACCTTATAACCCATTCAATGAGATAGGACATTATGAATCCATCTAAATAGGAGTAAGTAAATGAATAAATTGAAAGATTGAAATTGATACATAGTGTGAAAGCACTCCTCCCCCTGGTACTTACTAATTACAAAGCAGAAGAGAATAACTTGACAGCGGAGAAACCTGGCAGTCACCACCTTCATCAAGTGGGCAAAGTAAAACACACAACCTAATAGGATGCAGTGAGAAGAAAGCATCACTTTTGTGATTTCTGCCAAAGAAGCAAGACTTGAATCCAACCGCGAGGAAACATCAAACTCAAATTCAGAGAGCCTTACAGAATAAGTGACACATGATTGTGTGTTGAGGTCATGAAACTCAAGGAGACCGAAGAGCTGTTCCAAACAAAGGAGACTGAAGAGAAGTACTAGTTAGGAGCAATGTGTGATGCTCTTGTTATAAAGGATATTATTGAGATAACCGGTCAAAATAGAGTGGGGGGCTGCACACAGTGGCTCACACCTATAATCCCAGCACTTTGGGAGGCCAAGGTGGGAGGATTGCTTGAGGCCAGGAGTTTAAGACCAACCTGGGCAACATAGTGAGACCCTATCTCTACAAAAAATTTAAAAATTAGCTGGGTGTGGTGACATGCACCTATAGTCCCAGCTTCTCAGGAGGCAGAGGTGGGAGGATCACCTAAGGCCAAGAGTTCAAGGCTGCAGTGAGCTATGATCACAACACTACACTCTAGCCTGGGCAACAGAGTGAGACCTTATCTTAAAAAAAAAAAAAAAAAATGGGGTCCAAGGGAGAAATGGAAGTAATATAATAATATTTTTCATAAGGTACTTCTTTTTGGTCTACTACTTTTTTAGTGTGGTCTACTACTTTTTTAGCATTTGCAACAACTTTAGTAGTAGATATTGTTGGAAGGATATTGGAAGCCAGGTTTCTCACTCAGAAGAATGAAAGGGATAAAGCCAGAATGAACCCTGTGGTGTTGGGTTGGAATGAAAGATACTAAAAGCCATTTTACAGTTAAGAAAACCAAGGCCGGCCGGGTGCGGTGGCTCAAGCCTGTAATCCCAGCACTTTGGGAGGCCGAGACGGGCGGATCACGAGGTCAGGAGATCGAGACCATCCTGGCTAACATGGTGGAACCCCGTCTCTACTAAAAAAAATACAAAAAACTAGACGGGCGAGGTGGCGGGCGCCTGTAGTCCCAGCTACTT